ATCCTACTTCATTATTATAGATATTCAATAAGCAGCATTTTCTATTAAAGTAGGGAGATATTGATATAGAAACAGGAATTCTGACAGCTAAATGGTGAGAACATTAATTTGTTTCCTTTAAGGAAGTGAAAACACCAATATTTCTTTTTTTAGTGTGTGTGTTTGTGTGTGTGTGTGTGTGTGTGTATCCTTCTGGGAACCAAACCCACCACCTCATATACACTAGACCAAGACTCTCTTCTTGTGAGATGTGTCCTCAGCCCTGTCAATAACACTTCTGAATTATATCCTACAAACACAAAAGCACAAAAATTTTCATTGTTGCAAAATAGTTCAAATAAAGGAAAACATGGAAGTCATTCTATGAATGATAGTACCTCTCAAAGTCTGTGAGATTTTACAAGGACTATGTTATTTCTAAAACAGGAGGATTTTATCAGTATGCTGTTCAGCAAGAAGAAAAATGTTATAGGTATTATACTAATAAGAACACATTTCTGTACAAAAAAGTTAGCAGCATAGTTGTATGTTATTATATGCTAACAAATATTAATAAAAGTATATCATATTAACAACTGGTTACTTCAGAGGAAATAATTATATATAACTTTCATAAAATTTATATATCTCCTAGGATGTTAACAAAATATATATATATATATATAAGTGTGTGTGTGCAGAAAATAAAATACAAACATGTGAATTGAAACGACAATGTATTCTTTCAACAACACTCTAATGCAACTAGTTTCTTTATCCTTAATTCCCATTTTATGCTTTTACATCTATCAAAAGGTTCAATAGCACTCAGTTTGTTTGCTTTTCTAATTTTCACTTCTCAAAATAAACTCAGTACTACAAGAATACTGATTCCAGTTGTTCATACGTCTTGCTGTAAAAATCTGAGGAGAAGCATTGGAACACAAAAGACTTTCTGAACAGGACACCAAGAGCCCAGGCACTAAGGCCAATAATTAATAAATGGGACTCATGAAACTGACCACCATTTGGGGGGCAAGGAAGCAGCTTAAAGAATGGGGAAAAGATCTTCACCAATTGCATGTCTAATAGAGGGCTAGTATCTAGAACATTTAAAGAACTAAAAGAAACTGAACATCAAGAAAAAAAATAACCCACTTGAAAACTGAGGTATAGAGATAAACAGAGAATTCTCAAAAGAAGAAACACAAATGGATGAGAGAAGCACTTAAAGGAATGTTCAGTATACTTAGTCATCGGAGAAATGCAAATTAAAAGTAGTTTGAATTTCATCAATAAGAATGACCAGAATTAATAAAACAAATGCTGGTGAGGATGTGGGAAATGGACAGCACTCATCCACAGCTGGTGGGAATACAAACTAGTATAGCCTGTGTATGAATTAGTGTGGCAGGTCCTCTGGAAGCTGGGAAGAGATCTACCTCAAGATCCAGCTATACCACACTTGGGCATATACCCAAAGGAAAGGATATCCGAGTACAGAGATACTTAACCCGGATTGCTAATTTATAGCAGTTCAGTTTTCTGTCCAAAGAGAATATAAGTAAAGATGTATGGCCACAAAGATAGCACCCCAAACTAGGCCAATGAATTGAATTGGTGTAACAAATGACTCAATAGTAAACTAACTCATCTGTGAAAGAGGGGCTTGGAAAAATTAAGAAATTTAATCCGTGCCTCACATCACACAGAGAATGAAGTCCATATATTGAAAACTCTAAGATCTGAAAATATTTAAAGTAAAAATAAAAAAGCTTTTAGAAGAGCATAGAAAATTTATCAATATACTTATAACCTTAGAGTAGCAAAGCCTTCTTTAAACTATGGATGCAGCACAAAAGTATCAATACAGCTAAGCAACAAGCCATGCTCCCAGAATCCAGTTGTAGAGAGGTAAGAGGGATGAGCAAAGGAGCCAAGACTGTGATGGAGAAACCCACAGAAACAGCTGACCTGACCTAGTGAGAGCACAGAACCCCAGTTGTAAAGCTAGGGAACTAGCATTGGACTGAACCAAGCTCTCTAAATGTGGGTTCCGGCCAGGAGGCCTAGGCAGTCTATGGGATCTCTAACAGTGGAGCCAGGGTTTATCCCTAGTGCGCAATGGATTTTGGGAGCCAATTCCCTATGGAGGGATACTATTGCAGCCCAGATACACGAAAGAGGGCTTATGCTCTCCCCCAAATGATGTGACAGACTTTGATGATCCCCTGTGGCAGGCCTCACTATCCTTGGAGACATGGGCTTGGGTGGGTTAGGGAGCAGGTTGGGGACATGGGAGGATGGGAAGGTGAGGGAATAGGGAAATTGATATGCAAAATAAGATTGTTTCTAAAATAAAAATAATAAAAGAAAAAAGTATCAATATAGTAGAGAGCAATTAATCAAGACTTCCTTTCATAAAAGGCACCACACCAAGAGTAAGAAAAAAGTTCTAAAATGATATATAACTAACACAGGATTGGAATCCAGAATAAACACACATTCACACGCAAATTAAAATATAAAGAACTATACTGACTGAATGAGATATATAAAGGAACTATGTTGATGGAATGAAAAATACTGAAGTATGTAACCAGATCACAAGAGAAATTTGGATGATGAACCTACTAAAAGTTGCTCTGCCTCATAAGAAAACAGGAAATGTGAATTTAACCCAATGATAAGATCTAAAATGTCATATATTTTCATGCCACAACAACATGAAAAGTGGCTGAAACCAAGCATTGCCATGAGGTGGATGAAGGAGAAACTCTGCAACTAAATAAAAAGAAACAAATATTGTATACATCCATGAGATGCCATGTGATATTTTGGCACATACACATACTGTGTAATGTTCAAATATGAGTAAGCACACTTATTTGATCATCTGCTAATTTATTTGTTCTGAAAATATTAAGAATCCATTCCGTATGTTGTTCTGAAAATATTAAGAATCCATCCTATATGTCTTACTATGATAAGTATCTTCATTCCTTCAGGAATTTTATCATAAACGTATGTTATGCCAAAGACATTTTCTGCATTTATTTAAATAATCATGTGATAGCTTTGCAATATACTGCATGTACTGATTTACACATATTGGATTTAGTGGTTTGAATGAGAATGGTCCCCACAGGCTCATAAGTTTGAATGTTTGGTCATCAGGGAGCAGCAGTATTTGAAAGGGTTAGGAAGTGTGACCTTGTTGAAGGATGTGTTTCAATGGGGATGGACTTTGGAGTTTCGAAATGCCAAGACAGTCCCAGTGTCTCTCTTTTCCTGCTGCCTGATATTCCAAATATAAAACTCTCAGTTACTTCTCTAGTTCTATGTCTGACTGCATGCCAGCAAGCTGCCTGCCACAACGGACTAAACCTCTGGAACCATAAGCAAGCCCCAATTTCTTTTAGAAGAGTTGCCTTGGTCATGGTGTCCCTTTACACCTATAGAGTACTGACCAAGACACTGAATCATTCTTGACTTCCTTGAATAAGGTCAACTTGTTTATGGATAATGACATTTATAATATGCTTTGGAAATCTGTTTCCAGATATTTTACTGAGAAATTTTGAATTCATGGTATTTAGGAACTGTGATCTGTAATTTCCAATTGTTCTTAATCTTGTTTGGTAACAAAGTAATTATTGAAATTTCTTTCTTTTTTGTTATTTTATTAAAAAAATAAAACTTGGGATTAAATATTAAGGAATAAATCTGAGAGATCCGCGGCCATGAACACTCTCCTCTCCCCGGTCCCCAGATCGAAGAGAGCACACAGCCTCTCTGCTTCTCCTTTTGTTTTCTCTGTGTGCCCCTCTATTTCCCTTTGAGTCAGTTCAGGAAACTCTATGCTTTGCTTGAGCCAGCTGAATGTGAACTCTGCCCTTGGAACCAAGGTCTGACTCTATTTGTGGTCTCAGAGAAATCAACACAAACAAATCCCCCCCAACAGGTAATACTGACTTTGTAAAATGAGTTTTCTAGCATTCCTTCCTCTTCTAGTTCCTAGAATATTTAGAAGCATTGGTGTTTATGCTTCAGCCAGTCATGGTGCATGCCTTTAATACCAGCAATTGGTAGGCAGAAGCAGGTGGACCTTAGAGTTTAAAGCCAGCCTGGTCAACAGGACAGTCAGGGTTGCAAAAACCCTGTCTCAACAAACAAACAAACAAACAGACAAAAAAAAACAGAATTTGCTAGAATTAAGTCATGAGCCTGTGAAGTCCTAGACTTTTTTAGTTGGAAAACTACATCAGTGTCATTGTTGGTTAAAGATCTGCTTGCTTATGTATACCTTTTGACTTTATTTACGTGTCATATTTGTATAGAAATTTATGTTTGTTATGAATTTTCTAGTTCACTATAAATGGGTTTTCAAAGTATTATATAACGTTTATCTGAATTTCATTGTATAATGTCTCACTCTTCATCTCTAAAAAAATTTGGATCTTTCTTTTGCTGAGTTTGACTGAAAGGTTCATCATTCCTGTTTATCTTTTCAAAAAGACACTGGTGTTTCATTGATACTTTGTTCTTTTTGTTCATTTATGTCTTAAATTTAACTATTTCTTTAATCTATTTATGTTTGGATTTTTCTGGTCTTTCTCAGACCTTGAGAGCACACCATTAGGGAGTCAGGCTTAGCCTGGCTAAGCCAGAAGAGACTCGGCATCTGGTACCAGGGCTTTTCTAGAGGCCAGAAGGTGTAGATGGAAACCAACCTCTAAGATGGGTCTCATCCACAGGAAAGGGTCAGGAATAGAGTCGCAGAAGCTACAAGGGCCTAGAGGAGCTGTGGGATTACTGCCAGCTTCAAGGGAGGAGGTCAGGAAGGGACGTAATGACCCGGTTGGGCCTAAGGAAACTGCAGGATTGCAATTTCAAGGGTGGTAGGATGGGGTAAGGTGAAGATGGTCAGCTGTAGTCTTAAGGGCCTTGGCTGGGGTACCTCCACCTCTACAATTACCCCTGACTTAGGGAGCTGAAAACCAACTGAAGGGGAGACTTACCCAATCGTTGATGGTGGATGTAGTGTCAAGCGATTGGTGAACTGGAAGGCAAGTCTGCTGCAGGCCAACTGGAGATGAGAGATAGGGTCCCAGTGCGGCTCAGACCACGAAGGGGAGCACAGGCACCAGGAGAGCCTATCTGAGTCACGGCACCAAATGTTGTCATTTCAGTCGGATCAGGATGGAACAGGAGTGGGTCAGGTATCCTGGAACTCGGGAGCCACAGAATACTGAGTGTTACACAGCTCAGGTGGAAAGGTATCCTGGAGCTAAGGAGCCAAGGACCACCACAGGTTGCAGTAAGCTTAACTGCTTACAGCCCAGCCTCAGGAAAAGGCTTCCCCAGTGTTGCAGCAAGACAGGGTCTTCCAGCTGGGGATGTTCCCCTACTGTAGCAGTTTTGCTCAGCAGGAGGTTTCTAGGGAGAAGTTGCTACAGGTCAGCTCTGCTCCCAGAGAGTGGGGAGTGGAGTATAACAACTCTGCTCTGCCAAGGGAAGGTTTACAGCCCTGCTCGCTCTGCTCTGCTCAGTTGCCCCTGCAAAAGAAGATCTTCACCCAAAGCTCATTGAAGGGGTTTATTGGAAGGAAGAATCCAGGAGAGTGGCTGCCCTCTGCCAGAGTGGCAGAAGACAGTCGGGTAGCGCGAACAGACACAAGCTGAACAGACACAGGGTTTATATAGGGCTTCCAGGGTGGTGATTGGTCAGATTTTAGTGCTGAGCTCAGATTGGCTAGAGCTCTGCTCAGGGATTGGTTAGTTTTCTGCACAGAATTAGGGTCAGATTTGGCTCTGGTTTCAGGGCCAAAGTGTGTTTCTTTCTCTGGTCCTTTTTAGCTTTTTGGCTCCAATTTTAGGGCCAGGGTGCATTTTTTTCACTGACTCAGATTCCAGGATCAAAGTGTGTTTCTTTGGCTCTGCTCAGGATGTGTTCCTTTGACTGGCCCTTTTCCCTACAGCCAGATCTTATGGAGGCATTTTCACAATTGAGTTACCTTCCTCTCAGATAATTCTGTCTTGTATCAAGCTGACATAAAAGTCTCCATCACAATGGACTCCTTGTCATGTTGACACACATATCACTATTAAGCCACAATCTTTCCTTTCATGATCATCTCCAAGATCACAAATTAATATCAACATTACAATATAAAATATATTATAAACTTAAAAAGTACCATGGTATTTACAAGTAAAAACACCTTAAATTCAGTCTCTAAATCTTCAAACTCTCTTTATAACCTAGAATCTCTTTTAAAATTCAGTCTCTTAACTGTGAGCTCTTGTAAAATTAAAAATAAGTTAAATACTTCCTTTCTTCAAAAGGGAAATACCAGGGTAGAGTCACAATCAGATCAAACCAAAACCAAATCCCAACAGTGTAAATCACTCAATGTCCAATATCTGGGATTCACTTACCTTTTGGGCTCCTCTAAAGACTTGAGTCACTTCTTTGACTCTGCCCTGAAGCACACACATATTCAAAAATTCTGGGGTCTCTTGCAGAAAATGGGCAGTACTTTTACCAACCAGCCTCTCCTTGGCTCTCACACTACCAGTCCTCAGCTGCTTTCCATAAGCCCTTCATGCCTTCAAAACCAGTACCACCTGGGAGACTCTTACACATTACCAAGTTTGACTACCAGCACAACGGGCCACCTAGGTTACCTCTGGAACACAGCTTCTGTGTACTATCAGGAATCAGTTCCTAGAAGACTTTCACCTCTATGATGCGATGCTAGTTTCTTCTTAATTACAGCTGATTCTTCATCCCCAGATAACCAACATCCTAGCAAACCAAATGTTTTTCTTTATTGGTTCTGGTCCCTTGTTAAGCACATCCAGTTCTTCAGCTCCAGTTTACCAGATACTACAGATTTTTCAGACAAATGCCCCAAAAGAGTCTTTACTTCCTCCTGAAACTTGACAATCCAACATCCATTGTTCACACTTCTTTCAACATTCTTATTTGCTAAGCTCCTACAAAATACCCCACTGAGATTTGAACACTCAATGGCTTTTCTAGCCCAAAGTTTCAAAATCCTTCCACAGTCCTCTTAAAAACATACGGTCTGGTTTGTCACAGCAATACCCCATAACCCTAGTACTAGTTTGCCTTAGTTAGGGTTATTATTACTATGATGAAAAACTATGATATAAAAGCAAGTTGAGAAAAAAGTGTTTATTTGGCTTATACTGCCATCATATAGTCCATTATTGAAGGAAGCTACAGGTAGGATCTAAAGGCTCTGGAGAGGTGATGCTTCATCATGTCTTGTTCAGCCTGATTTCTTATAGAACCCAGAACCACCAGCTCAGGGTTGGCACCACTCACAATAGGCAGGGCCCTTTCTCATCAATCATTATTGAAAATATTCCAGCTAGAACTTATAGAGGCATTTTCTCAATTGCTGCTCCCTCTTTTCAGATAACTCTAGCTTATGTCAAGTTGACATAAAACCATCTAGCACACCTAGTTTCTAGGAAAACATCAATTTCCTCTCTGATTTTTAACAATTATATTACTGATAGTTGAACCTGTACTGGTTAATTTTTGTCAACTTGACATAAACTATAGTCATTTGGGAAGAGAACCTTAATTGAGGAGATGTAATTCTGTGTGCCATTTTCTTGATTGATGATTGATGTGGGAGGAGCCATCTCACTATGGGTAGAGTCTCCCTTGGGTAGGTGGTCCTGGGTTCTGCTATAATTTTACTAAATAATTTAACCCAGCAGTTTCTGTCTCAGTCCCTTTTCCTACTACAAGGATTCTGGTGTTCAGTCTCTTGATGATGTTTTGCTGCTGCTGAATATTATGGTCATTTATAGCTTCATTTTCTTTACTGCTGTCTAAATGCAATCTGTAGTCATCCTTCTCTTGTATTCCTGATACCCTCTGGTCTATTGTCAACTTTTTTATTTTTTCATTTATTTATATTTATTTATTTATTTTACAGTGTTTTCACCAGACCCATTCTATTGGCAACACTTTTATTTTTCATTTATTTATTTATTTTACAGTGTTTATACCAGACTCATTAATTTCCAACATTTCTCGTTTATCTCTCAAGAAAACACATAGTTGGTGGTATTGCTGGATATTTCTTTCACGTTACTTTTTAATTCATTTATCTAGATCCTGAACTGATTATCTTTCTTCATTCACTTGCTTATTTGAATCCTCTTTGAAGTCACTAGACATTTTTTTAAAGGGGAATTTTGAACTCTTTGTAGATGGAAGTTTCTGTCCTGCCAGTCTCACAGCTATTTAGTCCCAAATATAAACCCAGAGGCTTCTATCAATTATAAACTGTTTGACTGTTGGCTCAGGCTTCTTATTGACTAGTTCTCTCTTAATCATTAACCCATTTCTATCCATCTGCGTGTCTCCACATAGTCTTTCTTGGTTTACCAGTGATGCCAGGGTCTCTTGCTTCCTTGGCAGCTACATGGCGTTTGACTCTCTGTCTACTACCTTTCTCTACCCCTGTTTGGATTTCCTGACTGTCCATTGGCCAAAACAGCTTTGTTCAACAACCAATAAGAGAAACATATATTTCCAGCATAAAGAAGGGCATCCTCCAAAAATTCTTTGCCCAGTGTTCCAGTTATTTCATGATCTTTTGCTGCAGTTATAAAGGTGTGAGCTTGATGCTTGGGGGGTAGCATTAGTTTATTTCATAGCTTTCATGTTTTGTCTTGTGATTTACACATTTTTCTTTCAGTTCTATGTTACTTCTGCTATCTATTGTTTCCAGGTTGTTTTTTGTTTGTTGTTTGTTTTTGCAGGGGGATGTTTCTTACAGGGCAGTCTTCTCTTGTGCTTATGACCTCCACATTGTACCCGTCTATTCTCTTAGCAGGTTATATTTGCTTTTCTATTAAGAAAGACCCAACAGTCTTTGCCCCTTCATATACATTTTAGTTTCTTTAGAATTTAAATTGATACCTAAATTTAAAGGCAGACAAATAAATTAAAATAAAAAAGGCATTCTCTTTGGTTAGAACAGATTGCAATGAAAGAGAGTAGTTTCACAGTATAGACCATCTAACAAGTTTAATTGACTAAGTCTCAGTGACTCATATCCATTTCTTACTCAAAACTACTCCCTGCCCTTCAACAGCTAACCATGAATGACAAAACAACAGTGTCTGTTTGTAGTGCTCACTGATGCTGATCTGTCCTGCCAAATCCTGTAAGCTCTGATATTATTATCAGGCCTGTATTTCCATGAATCCAAAGTCAACTACGTTTTCTCTTACCCCAATTACCAATATGTAAGTAAACCAACCTTTTCAAAATATTAGCAAGTCTTAAAACTGAAACATCATCCTCTCTGTATGTAGTTTAATCTTAATTGGGAATCCTCCAAACAGGATATCTTTGTAGAAATTGCAGGCATTGAAAGAGAATTATTAGCAAGGTTTTTGGCACCTGACAACGTGACATCATCTTGTCTTTTATTTTCAAATAAGGAGAGGTTTGCTCATCCCCTGAGCATGTTACCATTTCAATGATTTTAATAGTATGCTTCAAAGAACTTGATTAACACCTCATAAAGTTTTATAGCTTAATGACTAACCATATGTAGATGCATAAGGAATAAAGCTAGTCTTAAAACTATTTGGCCTAACTTTGTGAGTTGCGATTGTTTTGATGTCAGACATCTTCATGAAGTTTTCAGTTACTCATCTGCATATGGCTAGAAGTAGCTGGTGACAGGAAAAGTTGGAGTTTAAAGGCAGGAGAACATTTGCATTTCAATAGTTCTACAATTCGGTGAAAACACTGAAATCATCAGTATACCTCATTGTATGAATACTGAAGGTAGCCTAATTTCCTACAAGATTCCTACCTAAGTTTTATCAAACGGGGGAGAGGGGGACTGACCTGGTGCATTGTATTCAAATTCTACAGTGGGTCTCTTCACTGTCATTTCCATTCCACCAGGAACAACTTCTGTCTGTTTGGATGCTCATGGCCCAAATGAGATTATAAAATAAAGGAAAACAAGAAAGAAGGCACATAGCTTTAAAACACACTATTTCAGTAGCACTGAGTCTTAGCTTGTGGTCTCTTAAGCTCTTTTTTTCCCAATGGAAAGGAAAACAAAGTCTCCTACCTCGTGGGAGGACTTTCCTCCAGTCTGAGAAGGCCAGAGGTTACTCATAGCCATCTGTGACACTGCATAGCATGTCTTTGGGATGTCTCTACACACAAGAGAGGATCACAAAGCTAAAGTAAGCTCCCAGTTCTAAAGCAGGACAAGGGTGACTTTGCTCAGACTGAGCTTCTTATGTCTTTTTCACATGGGTTAGACCCAATACACAGCTTTGGGAAAGAATTAAGTGAAATACTTTTTGAGAAACAAATGTTGTAAGCAGCAAAGAAAAGAACTGGAACCTTGCATAGGATTTCTGTAATGGGGCATAAGCTGTGATGAGCTATTTTTAAAAGGTTTTTCAATTCCTATCTAAAAATTTTTTTCATAGCACCTCCTCCAGTTGAGGCACTGAAACTTATAGCAAGATGTTCACAGAACAAAACTAGGCAAAAAAAAAAAAGAAAGAAAGAAAAAGAAAAAAAAAGAGTTCAACAAAGGTCAATCTTTTTCTTTTAGAAGGTGTCCTTTCAATATTTTCCCCATTTCTTTGTCATTTTTTCAGAACAAGTTTCACAGCATTTCACAACTTTTTTAAAAAAAATGATCTTGCTTCCCAAAATGTCTTTCTCCTTCTATATGCAAATGCAGGGAAGTATCCTTAAGAATCCCCCCCCCACACACACCTTTCCAGCAAGAGCCCAGATAAAAGCAGGGAACTTCCCTGCTTATCTGCAGATGAGAGCCCAGTCCCCAGTTTCTTTCTAGACATTTCCTGGCAGTCGGGAAAAAGGTCTATCAACCTTGAAGACTTTCTGCCAGCACTTTTACTTTTCAGTAAATTGGGAGCTCACACATAGCTCTGAGTGGCATTTGAATGTCACACGGTCTACTAGTATTAAAGAAGGAGAAGGCTCCCAGCCCCAATGCCTCTAAATCACAGAAGAATCCCGGGATAGAAGGAATTGGGCTGTTTCTAAAGAACAGAAGTCTAAATATAGCACAAGTTTCATCAGTATGCTTTTTATAGCTTTTTGACCATACATGTGTTCCTGTGTGTGCATTCCTGTGAGTGTGTGTGTGTGTGTGGGCGTATGTTCCTGAGTTCAGGACGGATAGAGCAGGGTTGCGAATAAATGAAAAGAAGCTGGGAACCCCTTCTTATTTCTGAACATTCCCAGAGCAGTAACCCCAGACCACAATGACCCACAATGAAGAGAAGGGGGTCTTGAAAGCTGCCTGTTAAGTCTGGATAACACTACTAAATAAGTCATTGGACCCACAAGCAGAGACCTTTTTTTCTTGGACATGCTGCTACCTGCGGCAGACAACGCAGGCTGAGAGGAAACCCCGAGGAGGCGCTCCTGGCTGGCTCTTTGCTGAGATAGCAGTAGCGGCAGCCTGCGGAGCCACGCGCAGCGTCACGGAACTGGCGCGGGAGCACCCGGCGTGCAGGCCTGGAGCTGCTGCTGCTGGCAGGTTACTGGCGCTGCAGAACACGCTGCGCCGCCAGCAGGAGCGCCCGGGCTGGAGGGAGAACGCCCCGAGGAGCCCGCGATGCCCCATGCAGAGCCTGCTTTGTGCACTCCAGGCAACGGGAGAACCTGGAGAGCTTGGACAGTTGTCTAAAAGCTGGGGTGGTAAAGGAACCAGAGAAAGCTAGAACACCTTATTTCAACAAGACTGGGATTTTGTTCCTCCAAATTGCAGAGAGTCCAAGTAGAGGTCATGAGGGGCAAGCGAGATTGTCCAAGAATGGCTGAGGTCTGGGAAGGTGGCCATCCTCTCTGAGACCTGGAAAATCTCCTTGACATTTTTCACACTTTGAAGCAGCTGCAGCTGGTGTCGTCGGAAAAGGGGGTGGGAGGAAAGAGAGGGGGCGGGGAGATTGTGGAGTCACGGGCGCCAGCCAGGAGCAGCGCCTCGTCTGCCAATCCTGGCACCTGTGCGCCAAGCCGCGGCATCGCGGAGGACCCCGCTCCGGGCCAACCGTGGGCTCCGAGCCACGACCACCCGGCTTCTGGGCCAGCGCGACCTGCAGCCGCCCACCCCGACCCCTGCCGCCACCCACTGCTGCAGGAGCGCACAACCCCAACCAGTGTTTGCTGTGCCCGGGGCCACGGGGACACTCGCCCCTTCAGAGGCGGCGTGGCCGGCCCGAGCAGAAGCCGAGTTGGGTACACGATTCGCCCGCGCTGCCGTTCTCTTCTCCGCCCAGGATTTATTGTCTGTGGAGCCTTCTGGGGGCGGGGAGGGAGCTGCGCCTCCGCCGCCGCCGCCGCCGCCGCCGCCGCCGCCGCCACTGCCACTGCTGCTGCTACGGTTGCTAGCGCGGCGCGCTGGGCGGGCGGAGGCAGGGGACTGGCCGTGCTGGTGCTCCTGGCGGGCTCCCGGCTCCCCCCTGGCACCTCTCCAGCCGTGCACCTGAAGGGCAGTGGCATCATGGTCTGACGCGGCATCTGCCCGGAGTCCCCTCTGCCTTAGCTTTGGAGGACTCCCATACCGGCTTCACTGCGGACCCCAGAGCACTTTAAGGAGTAATCCTCGGCAGCTGCAAGGCCTTCTTCACTCCCTGGACCCTCATGGGTAGTTTCTGCCTCTGGCGATGTGAGTAGGACACTGGGGGAACCTCTGCCCGCGGTAGAGGAGCTGGGATCTGGGAGGCTCAGGTGGCCCGCCAGCCGCGGCGTTGGGGCGGTTGCGGGGCTGTGGGAATCCGGCGCTAGCTGGTTGAGTGGTTGGAAGCAGGGTGCTTTGGATGGGCTAGGGACCCTAAAGGGTTACATATTGCGAAAAGGAAAGGTGAGGGGCGAGTGTGAGGCACTGGTGCTGGGACTGCGGGGTCCGGGGAGATGTGGCTTTCTAGATTTTTATTGTTCTGGGGTCTCCGGTCTTCTTTTCCAGGAGGTGCGTGAGGGATGGAGCGAGTGTGATCTACACACACACACACACACACACACACACACACACTTGTGGCAGCTCACACTTGTGCTTTATCTTGGAAGGTGTTGTACTATTGTCTTGGTATCTATAAAGGAATTATTGGGGGGTGCATGCTATTGAGAATGCAAAGAAAAGGGTGGGGTTTGGAGAGATGAAGGGGATAGGAGAGCAGGTAAGACTGAAGGACAGAAAGAAGTGGGGAGCATTGGGGCGAATGCTTTCATTGGAGTCAGGGAAAATGCCCCCTGTCTCCTGGCAACTCCTTTGTGTTCCGCGGGAGAAGCTAGGGAACCTCACTGCTCCTGGTCCAGTGCGGGCTCCCTTGGCATCCTCTGGAGTCTTTAGGGATTCAGGACGCGCTTCTGATTGTATTGGGGAAGGGAGGAAAGACCTCCAACACTGGGGTAACTGTGGCACTCTAGTTCGCTGACAATTAGCTGGGCTACCATAGATGATCTGTATCACCAATTTTAGAGTCAAGATGGGGGCGGGATAGGGGTGCGGGCTGCACAGATTGTCTTTAAAAAAAAAACAGTGACTTCATAAGCAAGATTGGCCATCAGGGTTGAGGGGCAGAATAGACCCGCCTCCGCCCTCTCGCTCTTGCTGGTTGCCCCTCCCCACCAAGGCACAAAGCAAGTGGCACCTCACTTGGCAGGGAAGGGGTTACTTTCACAACTCCTGGGAATCGGCCTCAGGAAGGAACCATCTGCGACTCCCACGTTCCTTTCCAAGTTCTCCATCAAAAGGAATCTCAGAAAGCAGGAGGGGGTGGGTGGGAATCAAGGCAGTGGGCCTCCACCTGCTTTTTGCCATTACTTTCCCAGTACACTTCAGCACATCAGAATTACCTGCAGTGGTAATTGGGTCAGCAGGAGAGCATGTGCACGGGAGTCTCTAGATGGGTCTTTGCTGATGGATGAGAAGCAATTTGTGTTTGAGCATATTTTAACCTGGGCAAAATTTCTAAGCACAATAGAGGCTTCATCGCGTGGGCGAGCAGGGTGCTTACCAGCGAAAGTGAACACGTGATTCCTCCAACGCAATAGAAACAGTATTAGGAAGTAGATTTTCTTTGTTCCAGGCTGAACCTATTAGAAGCTCAGTATCCCAGCTGCTGAAGTTCCCCTTTATTTTTAATAAAGTTGACCAGAGACGAAAGAAAACGAAAGGGAGCATAGCCTGAAAGGCTCTTGGCTAGCAACCTCTGACATTTCTTTGTTACAACCTACCCTCCACCCCTACACCTGGTCCCAGCTGGCTCCTACTTTAAAATGATGCATTCCCTCTGAGGGCGTTGGGGAAAGTTCTTCAGGCCCTGCGCAGGCGCACACGTGGGTTGCTCTAGAGCCTCAAAAGCGGCTGCTGTTCTGAAACACGTGCAGCTGTCTCTGGTTCAAGCACTCCCAGTTCCTGGGGTCTGGGCAACCACCTGGAGATCTTGCTGGAAATGAATGTGCAGTGTCTGCCAGGCTTCCTTGAAATCACTTATCACAACAGGAGAATAGTGAGAAAGCAGGGTTCAGGGGTGATTTTATTTTTCCTTAACTATCTGAGACAAATGTCTTTTAAGGGTGTACTTAGAGATGTCTGTCTTTGAATCCCTTAGGTGCCTCAGGCTTGCAAAATGTCCTGAACTCTGATAATTTATTACTTTAGTGTAAGCAGAGTTGGTTCCCTACTCAATCGTTAAGACAGCTACCTAATTTGGGTATCCCTTACTTACAAGACACCTTAAAAGCTGGAGGCTTTAAAATTTTAGGTGTCTATGTGCCACCCTGCCCTTCCACCACACCGAGATGTCATGAGAGAAAAAGCATTCTTAATTTCCAGAATATACCGTGAGCTGAGAGGACTTTAAGCACATTTCTTTTTAATTTAACTTCTCTAAAAGATGTGTGCTCACCATGGCAACACTTGCCTCCCACATCCAGGCTCTTGCACATATGCAGCTTCAGAATTAGAACAACTTCATAAGAAATGAACTTGGTCCAATTACAGGAGCCATGTTTTATTCAGAATTTTTTTAGCATTGCTTTAGGCAGGCATGACTATTTTCTTAATTAAAATCACATTCCATTTTATTTGTATGCTTTTACATTTTCTAATTCCTCTATATAATACCGAATATTATTTTTATTTGCTTTGAATTTTTAAAAACTGTGAAGAATTTTATTACAAATCTTTATTGCATATGAAGGTTATCCTATATTATTGTTAGAGTGCTTATCTGGTGTAGTCTCAGTAGATGGTGCGTGGTCATATTTGTTGCTTCAAAAAGGGTCTCTTTATTATAACTTAAAACACCACTTTTTAGGATAGTTGAAAAGTTGTAGGTATTGATGTTAGTATTTTATTGAGGCTATAGTTTCATTTCCTGAATACCTATAAGGGGTCACACATTCCACAGAACTAACACTTCACTTTACACCCTATATAGTGTTCTTTAAACTTAAGAATTATAGCAACCACACACACCCAAAATAAAAGCATTCTTTTGTTCTCTTCAGCAGTAACTTAGTTTGCATGCATCTTCTGCATTAATTCTTGGGAATGGGAGAGCTCTGTGGATCTGCAGCTTGGCTTTGGGAACCACTAATTTTAATCTGTGACACAGAGCAGCTATTCAGTTTGTGTTAGTCTTTTCTGACCCCAAAGTGATTGCTATCCCCATGGGATGATAAACTGGAGATGTTTCTGAGATCTTCGGAGAAACTTGAAGTTTTCTCTAGGAATCTATAAGGACCACATCCAGTCAATTAGTACATCTTAATGTTACTATATCAAAATGTGGAATTTGAACATTAACATTAAAATGATACTCCAACAGTGTAATGATATTTTTTTCTGAATAGCAAAAATGATCCAGGTGCATGGACTTCTTGGATGGTCGTTAAGAATCCCTGGAGCGGGATTCACTAAATCTGTATTCACACCACCAGGCAAAGTCCATAGTTAATTTACACCATGATTCACTCCGTGTTGCATATTATGTGGAATTTATCAAATGCATAATAACATCTGTCAAGCATTTTAAAGTCACACAAAAATGTTTCATTACCCTAAAAAGCCCTTTATGTTATATTTACTCATCTTCCCTCCACAGAAACTTTGGGAATGCTGAACATTTTATAGCCACCTTAAATTTGTCTTTACCCTTAATGTCACTCAGTCAGATTGGTGTGTGTTCATGCCAGCTTCTTTAACACACCAATATTTGCACATCACTCTAAGCATCGTTATGAATTTGCATAGTATTCAATATTAAAATTAAGTGCACCATGAGCCAACAGTGTGTGGAAGGCAGTAAGTACAAATCAACAATCTTGGTCCTTATCTTTTAGAGTCTCCACTTCTGTAAAAAGACACCAGGAACATGGCAACTCTTATAAATAAAACATTTAATTGGGGCTTGCTTACAGTTCCGAGGTCCAGTCCATTGGCGAGAAGCATGATGGTAACACATGCAGAAATGCTACTGGAGAGATAGCTGGGAGTTATGCATCCAAATTGGCAGGCAGCAGGAAGAGAGAGGGCCACTGGACCTGGCTAGAACATTAAGAATCCCAGAGCCCACACCCAGTGACACACTTCTTCCAACAAGGCCACACCGTCTAATCCCTGTCAAGTAATGACTCTCCCTAAAATAACCAAGCATTCAAATATATTAACTTGTGGGGATCATTTTCAAACTACCACACTCCTCTATGGTGCTTTCAACCCTATTTTGTGAATCAGGTTTGAATCATTAGAAATATACTTTTCAATAGAAATGAGTTAAGAATAAGCCAAGCTTACATGCCTCTAGAACAACTATACAACCTCAATGAACAAGTGCATTTCAAAATTATAATCACTTCTACTGTAGCAAATAATAAAAGAGTTTCACAGGGAAAGTGGGCTGTCAGGTTAGGCAGACACTTGTCAAAGCTTTTGATATAAATCATTTTTCCCCCTGTGGTAATGAGTGTCTGTGTGTATACATGTATAGACTGGTAGGATAGGAACATTAAAATAATGCTATTGAAAGAGTTGACTCTATTCCTGTCCTAGAATTAGGAGTGTATGCTAAGAAGTCGGTGAATAACACGGGGCATCTCCCTTGTCTTACACTGAACAGTGGCTAAGCTGCTCTCATCATAGTAGGCACCAGTCACTAACCCCCAGGGTGAGTCAAGAGTAGAACTTTAAAATAATACTTTAGGAAGCATCATCTCAACCATTTCAGTTGAAGCTGCTAGAGTCAAACTCCAGAGCATTTTAAAATAAACTACTTTATAAGTAAATTTTATTTTTTTAGAACTTCATACGTATGAAGTTTACATATTTCCACCATGCCCTTTCCTCATTTCAACTCTTCCCCAACTCCTCAGATTCATGATCTCTTATTCTTTACTTATTATTTTACATGTATGCATATATTATACATATATAGAGATTGCTTAGTCCATTTAATGCTGTTTTGTGTACATGAGCTTAAATGCACCAATAGAATTTCAATATCGTTGCCTGAACAAAACTTGCATTTTCTTGATGTATACAGAAGTAAATATATACTGATCCAGATTTTCAAAAATTAGCTGCATATTTGGCAATAGGAAGTATTACTTTTGTGACCATCTTAACATGAGTATTAGATGCTATTGCTTATATTTAGTAATAAT